TTTGTTTCCTGTCCTTTTTTTTCCGTTGTTTTTTTTTTGGTTTTTTTTTTTTTGGTGTTTCTTTGTGTGTATGTGCGTGTGTGCGCGCACGTGTGTGTGTATGTGAGAGAGAGAGAGAGAGAGAGTTTCCATTGGTTGGTTGCCTCCACCATTCATGCATCAGCTGTCATATTTGTTTTTGCGATGAAAGTCGCAACGGGTCATCTAGTTGTAGTTGCAATCTTTTGGATGTACTGACGGGTACCCCTGTCTTTGACTTATGGCAGCTGTAATTTTGTGGGTATTGTGAACTCTGAATGGGTCTCCTTATGTCAATCTTTTGGCAGGGTGGGCTTGCGGGACCAATGGGTGGACAGGGTGGTCAAATGGGTGGACCTGGTCCAATGGGTGGAGCAGGGCCCTTGGGTCATCACGGGCCTATGGGAGCGCCCACCATGCTTCATCCAGGGCAGTCACAACAGCAGCCTCAGGTATGAATTGCACTTTCTGTGTAGTACTGTCTGCTTACCTCACCCATCAATGGGGGTCTTGGTAATTTGAAGTTTATCTTTTGTATATAGCTGTCAGTGCCACCGTGGTTCCACATATGATGCAATGCACTGTGGATGTTTTAGACGTGAGTTCCATCTTTGATGATATGGTCGTGCCTTCAGAGTTTGATGTGGGACACATGTTGGTTCCCAAGTGAGATGATTTTATGATAACTTTTATCTGAATTTAAGAGAATATTGTACTAATTTGTACGTATATTGCACCTTTCCTTGCAACAAATCCAAGGTTACTGCAAAGACACAGTGGAGGGCATGCCTATCACTAGATAGGCATGGGGATGATCCAAGAAGTCAAAAGGAGTGGAGAGAAACACAAATTGGCACCCCTCAGAGAGGCAAAGAGAGTAGCTTACATGGATGGATATCCTCTGTGACCGTGGATGGAAATGGAGAAGAAGGGGACGATGCAGCAGCCGAAATGATAGCAGATGGGGAGGGAGAAGAGGGGGACAAGTTTGGGGTAAAAGAAGAGAGTCCAGAAATGATAGCTAGCAGATTCTATCAACTCTTAACCATCTCCAATACGATGTCAAGTCTGGTCGGATCGCGTAGTAGTCACCCTGAAGTAGTTGCCAAGTCTCTGATTTCTCTCTCTCTCCGGTTAGAAAGAAGAAGTCTCTCCCTCTCTCCGTCTTGTAACCCAGATTCTGGCTGGTTAAGAGGCTACCTTGAATTGTGGCAGATCGCAGAGTGGTTTCCACTGTGGCCGGGGTGTTCTCTAAGCTTTGGTCCCCGGGTGGGTGCTCTTCTCTTCAATGCTGCTGTAGACCTGTGTCAGTCTCTCCTATCTCCTCTAATAAAAACAGTAACTCTGCCCTACTGATGATCAACCGTCCTGTGCAGGAGCCAGGTGTTAAATGGAATGTCTAACTATGTCCCTCTGGTCCAGTGCTGCACAGGGCCTACCAGAGGTCTTGCCTGTGTGCATCCAGGGCTAGCCGATCAATGGTCCTATAGTAAAGGGTAATATTTAGTAGGTAGGTAATTTTCCTGTAGTAGTAGGTGAGTTCTATGGCTGTTTGATTTGTGATTTCGTTTTCGTTTTTGGACGAGGATATCAGGGCAATGGCTTGGGTGTAGCCATTTCCGTGCATAGACTGAAGCTTGGTAATGGCCCCTGTATTTTACTGGGTTGTCTGTGAGGAGTTCTGGCCGTCGTTGTTGAATTGATAACATGAGTTGTGGATTAAAGAGGAGGGATTAAAAGCAAATTGAGGAAGAAATAGGAGGAGACAAGGAGAAGACGAGGAACAAAAAAAGAACCAAGGAACGAAAAAAGAACCAAGGTCCAGGAAATGAACCTAATGATGTGGGGAAGTAAGGGTCCCTGGGCCCATAAATCCAACGCCAGGTCCTACAAGGTCTGTGTGGAAGACTCGTGCATGGCATGTGATGTCATTTGTGTGCAGCTGCATCTCTGCCTCTTGATGTGAGCATTCTGTCATCTCCACCTCTTCGTGTCATGGATGTTCTTGTGCTGCTGAGTGCAGACTTCTTTTGTTTGGCTTTGTTCATCTTATTCCATGTCATGGATGTCCTTGTTCTTTCTCTGATATTCCAATCTCTAGGCCCTCCCATCTTTTGATCAGCTTTTCCCGTGGACTCGCCAGTATATGGAGTAATGTTTTGTGTTGCCTATCTAACCTTTTCCTCTCTTGCCCTGGCTGTGTCAGCAACCCGGTATGCAACAGCCTATGCCCTTAATGATGGGTGGACCTGGGGCGGGGGTTATGCCTTTGATGCAGCAACAGCAACAAGCGCAGGTGAAGTCTTTACCCTTCACACTGGTGTGTTTATATCCTAAACTTCTGGAATTATTGAAATAAAGGCTGAATTTCCATTGTAACTAGCTTAACGTTGCACGACTTTCATATAAAAATCTTAAGGTAAGTTGGTTTCTGGGTGTTTTTTAGGCAAATCTCTCGGGGGTGTTTGAGGTGTAGATAGCAATGGAGTGACAACAACGTTACCTTCTTGGCGAAGCAATGCCTGTTTGGCATAAGTGACAAACCTTGAGCGTCGACTGGATGGCATAAGTGACAAACCTTGAGCGTCGACTGGATAAGTGACAAACCTTGAGCTTCGACCTGCGCTTATTTCTGAGGCAGGTGGCATTAGTACGCATTACAAATGGCAAAATTTCAAGATTGCAGATGGCGAAAATGATCCTGAAGATGGTGGAAATTTTGAAATTGTTCTTGTGACACAACATTTGCATGCTATTGGGTAATGTTTCAAAATTTTGATCCCCCACTGGTGGTACAGTTTTTTGTTCGTCGGGGAACAGGTTGTTGAAGGTCGATTTTGTAACAGGATGCTGTGGCCGAACGATTGTGACAGACAGTTGCCATGATGGGGTCTTGATGAGAGCTTGCTTCGCATCTCGCTCCACTACACGACACTCTACGTGCATTTGGACGATTTTTCTAGACCTGAGGCATTTGAAAAGTTGGACTCGTGCAACTGTACGTGATCCAGAAAACGACCAAATGCATGCAGAGTATTCTGTAGTGGAGGGAGGCCCTCCGCGTATCGGGTTGGATATGTCTTCTGAATTGGACATCGAAATCTTGTTGTTCATTGAATAATCAGACTTCTTTTGATGAATAGGTTAGAGGGAGTGACGCGTATGTTTTCTGGTGTGAAGTTTGCTTTTCATTGAAAATGGCTGTTGCAGAGGTTTCAGTCCTCTCTGGTTGGGGAGGAGTAACTATGTAAAGCTAGGGGCATGAGGAGTGTGGGAAAAGACTGCTACTGACATGGAGTTGTCTATACACTTGGGTGATCCCTGTTCTGTGGTCTCAGGGTTACTACCAACCACCACCTCAACAAGCTGTGGATCCCCAGCAGCAGCCACAGCCACAACAGCAGATGCCCCAGCATATGCAGCAGCAAATGCCACAGGGAATCCAGCAGCAAATGCCTCAACAGATGCAGCAGCAAACACCTTTGCAGCAGCAGGTAGCAATGACTGGCAAGATGGATTTGAGTGGAATTGAATGAATTCCTTTTTTTTCCGGAAACATTTGAGACCACTTCTTGATTGATGCGTGTCATCCTTCCGCAGGGGCCATGCTAATCTTCTCTGTATCGTTCCAATTGTAAAGGACATCCAAAGTTCATGTCCAGTGCACTGTGAATGTGAATGCAAAGTGATTACTATGGTTCAGCCGGCGCTTGATGGGGAGTTAATTGTACATGGTTGGTAATGCATCTGTCGGTTTGGGCAGTTGGGGCTGGCCTCGTATGCCAGGCGAAAGGACGTGGCCAGCTGTTTTTCGTTTTGCTGTAACACACACGTAAGAGGAGCTATGACCTGGCCATGATGGAGTGGAGCCTGTGACAGTCATGGGCAACTGTTGGACCACTAAGCTATGTTGAAAGACTGACCTCTATGCTCTTTGTTGAATGAAGCTCTCTACATTACTAGTTGTCTTCTCAGACCTGACCACCAATGACCCTTAAGTGGTAGTGATGTTGTGTCCTCTGTCTGTTTACAGCACCAGGGTTGCCCTCCTCCCTTGTCGAATGAAGCTTTCAAAGATTACGTGTGATCGTTTCAGACCAGATGTCCCATTTCCTAGACTTTCTGAATTTTCAAACCACCAGTATGCTCCCCAGGCAAAAGTATCCTGTGAGAATATGTATGTTCGAAACTTTTGCGGGTTTGGGGAACTGGGCCAAAATGTCTGGAGCCACCAGCCAAAACAAACAATCGTACTGGTGCCGGCTCGTTTTTTTTTTTCGTAATGGTGTGAAGCAGGATTTCGGGTCGGAAAATATGGCCTCGGTTGTATTGGTGGTTTAAGCTTGGGGAAGTCGTGTGGTTGCTCGACTGTCAGAGCACATTTTTTTCCTGACTGGGATTCTGTGTTGATGAGAATACTGGAAGCCAAATTCTCCACAAGATGGAAAGTGTGTCGATGTATGTTTAGCTTCAGGCAGTTCGTCTTACGTGTTCAGTTTTGTGTCATAGATTAAGGGACATAGGGGGACACCAGATGTCAACCTTTCTTTTCATGGCAGAGCAAGCACGATGTTTGGATGCTGTTCTTTGGGATGCAGCAGGGGCAGCCTGCCCTGGGATGCAGGAGGGTCGGTTTGCCCTGAGGGACATTGAATATAACTTACAGGGAGGGTTAGGCTCTTGAGAACTGCTGCTGCTGCTGCAAATGAGGATGCATTTTGTTAAACCGCCACTACCTTTCACATATGTCGGTGGCTGGCGAGGGCCCCACGAGGCCCCACGATTTCCGGAGGCCGCCAAGGCAAAAATGGCCGCCGATCAAATATATCAACAGTGGATGCGCGTTGGACCTGGCCTCCGAACATTTTAGGATGAGGTCTGTTTCCCAATGCGACATAGTCCTAAAGGTGGTGGTGGGGTTTGAAGCGCGATAAATCTTTTCAGGGTGGGAAATTGAATGCTATGTTGGAAGATCGCATAAGTTTGTCCACTAGTTTATTGTGTGGGAGCACTGGGAGGGAAATAGTAAACTCAGTGCTCACTGGAATAGGTGAGAGCAACAATGAACTGGTCATTCATAGGCGAGTTGTGAATAAAGATTGGCATGGTCTGTTCTAGGCTTCTGGCTAGTGGTATAGCAACTACATTTGTGTTAGCATCAAGTAATGATGATGATGCAATTATCCTCATGATGGGTTTTGCAGGGATATTACCAGCTGCCTCATGCGCAGCCGTCTGTTTCTGAACGAAAGGTGAGCTGTTTGCTCTTGTGTTTGTCATAGGATGGAGCAATGGAAATAACTCCGAGAAAAAAAGAGGATGTATGTATGTGGTTCATATCTTGCAGACTTGCATCCAAAACGTATTTTGAGTAAAAGCTGTTGGCTTTCTTAAACCACTGGGTCACCCGGGCCTCGAGGTGCTGCAGTGCGCTCCAAGCTTTTTTGAACCCGCCAGCTGCACACTTCTTTTTGTCTCTTGGCTGGTGCCGCCAGCCAACTGTGGTCTCGTAGCCCAGAGTCACGAAAACCTCGGAGTTGGCAACTCTACAAGGCTGGGGCTGTGTACACTGGCTTTTTAAATTCATGGAGTAGGGTTGGGGGGAGGGAACTCCTGGACACACACATCAAGAAGATTTGATGTTTATTGTTTTGAGAACGTGATAGAGGTTCTTGTAAGTTCTCTCTATGGATAGGTGGAAAACAAGGAAAACTTGTGTGCACTGTGTGTTGAGTGATGCTCTTGAATTATTTCACTCTTGCGGAGTATTGTGATTGTGTACATATGATTGGGCCCAGGGAAGGTGTAGGTGGGGTCCCTCCCTGTGCTGCAGTTATGCAAGGGGGAATGGTCTGAGTTACAGTCTACCCCTGACTGAGTAGCAGGTAGCGAAGAAATGGATCGAGACAAGGGGTGACATATATCAGGATTGAGTCGATCGTAACCCTCTTTGTATTTTGGCTGTTGGTGCGCTATTCTTGGTTTGTGCAGCCCGTGGCCCCTCCTCAACAGTATATACCTCCTACTTGCGATTGGAGTGAGCACACTGCTCCTGAAGGGTACAAATATTACTATAATTCAGCCACTGGTGTGAGCCAGGTGAGAACCTCAGCCAATATTCCAGGAGCGACTTGAAGCAAATCACAGCAGGGGTTCTGATGGGATGTCTCATGGCTGCTGTTTATGAAGAGAATCATTCGTGGCATGTTAAAAAGGATCGTCCGCTTGGATTCTTCACTGAGGAATGTGTGCATATGTGTTGAGGTTTCTGTCAGTGAGTGGAGATCGAAAGAGATGACCAAGCAATGTTGAATGTTGTGTAGTTTTCGTTTGTTAATCATGGTTACAAGCGCAATCATGCAGTGCACTGAGAGGTTTCGGAGCTAATCAACTTGTGCTTTCATGTGCTTTCTTTTTTGTTGTTGACGCAGTGGGAAAAGCCACCAGAGCTGACAGCATACGAGCAAGCACAGCAACAAGTGTCAGTGCAACATCAGATGCCACCACAGCAGCAGCATCAGCAGACTCCTCAGCAGCAGGGAATGCCTATTGTGGTGCGTATCTCTCCTGTCTGGTGTACGATGGATGTCCTGGTGGACAGTAAATGACTTGCAAATAGTCACGTGTGAATGTTTCGAGCCTTGCCAATAGTAAATGACGTGTGAATGTTTTGGACCTTTCTGTTTCCGGCATCATAACACCATTAAGGGTCTTGACGGACATTAAATGTTCTTAAGGGTTAGTGTAGTAGTGCTGTGGTGTGTGTTGTTGGTTCGTCAAGACCTATGATATCGAACTGTCAATGATTGGACCCTGAATGTAAATGACATTGCGAATGATCGGATCTGTGCAGTGTTGTGGTGTGTGTTGTTGGTTCGTGCATGTGTCAATGTGTACGGTGTGGGATAGTGCATGCATCCTCGTAATTTTGTTGTGATGCCCATTCTCGTAAAACAGCAAGAAAAAGGGAAAAGATATTATTGCAGGCCTGTAACATGGAGTAGATATCGAACACAGAGCCACCAGAGGACGACGGGAGAAGAAGCAGAACAAGTAGCAGAAGCTGATGGAAAAAAAGAATACAAATGTGTATGAAATCCAGAGTTTGAAGGGCGTTTACCCTATGGACATGAACTTGATATCCATCAATGACTGGGTTATTGATACATGATTGCAGCGAAAGTTTATGGGCAGCAGTAAAATTTTGTTGAATTGATCTGAATACCTTGGTATCAGGTCACGCATGGAGCTTCGAGTTTATTGACTGGATGATTTATGGTCACTTCAGTTCCATGGTTCCTTTGTCAAGGATTGTCGGGCTTGTGTCGTGCTTGCTTTCTGATGACACTGAGCAAGGACCTCTCTCCTTTGTCCGTTCTTGTGCAGCAGCAGTACCCAGGGGCACAGATGCTTGGGCAGCCTATGCAGGTGCGTGGATGATGGTGGGGATCATTGTTCTTAGGGAATTGACTCTTGCTTGAGGTTGTCATTGTCCCCTTGTCTAAGAAGTAAGATGACAGTAAATGTGTTTCCAGCACCGTCTAGCCGACACACAGGATGCATGCTTGGAACAGTGAGTTTGGCAGAGGAGTTTCGGGGTTGCTGGTTGTTTTGTGATATTGAGAACCACTTCTTGCAGTTGTGTTGCTGCAGATCAGTCTTAAGTGAACAGGACCGCAAGAATATCTTCTTATTATCTGACTCCGAGTTGTATATCCATTCATCTGTGATGTGAGCAGTTTTATGGTGACTTCTGGATCGAGGGAATATGGGATGATCCCCTGCCAAGAAGAATATTTTGTTTTGCGAACGTTGACTGCCGTTTACATTGCATCTCACTTGTTTCATTAATGAGACGGAAAGAAAGAAAGAAAGAAAGAAAGCGGCAAGCCACTCACTTTGCGTCTACTTAGGTTTTGTTTAATCAACTTTAATGGTGCTTTCTCATGTGCTCATTTTGATTGGTGTGTTGCAGTATGGGCAGCAGCACCAGGGGGGCATGCAAGGAATGGAGGCTCGTCCAAACCAGATACAGGTAAGCGTAATTCGACTTTGTTGGTTCGTTCATTCTTCCTGATATACAGCTCCTGTGTATTATAGGATTTGGGTTTTCTCTGTCTTAGGCAGTATAGTGGATGCTCTATTTTGCAGGTAAAGTCGGACGTATTTCTTAAGTGTAGGGGAAGGAGCTGAAACGTTTTGGGAAATGGGCTTGTTACTTTTGTTGTCATGTAAGAAAGAGAAAGAGGAAAGAATCACATAGATGACCTGGGCCTTCCTTTCCATAGGGAGAGGGTGTGACCCAGAAGGAAAGCCGGCAAGTGGGCTTAATCGTTGGTTGGTTCTTTTGCAGGGCCCTCCCGGCGCAAATCTCTTTGTCTTTCGCATACCAGATGACTTTACGGATGAGAACTTGACTCAAACGTTTACTCCATTTGGTGCGTAACCCACTATCTTTCTCCAATTAAGATAAGAAGGGTTGAGCAGTCGAGTAAACGAGCTGTGCGCTTTAGTGATTTCAGCAGCGAAAGGCGGATGTCCTTTCAATGCTTCTGTCAAAAGGGAAAAAGCTTACCTTGCATAATTCATTCTGTGGGAAAGTAACTCTTTACCTCAGTGGTCACCACTTCTGGTGGGATTTGGAAATCTGTTCTCATGAATGATTGCAGTGATAGGCCCACCCTTGCATATATTCAGTCGTAAACTCGCAGGTGCTCTTCTTCGAGGAAAGTGTTGTATTGATCTGAAGTTCCTGAACACAGAACAGCAAAACTGTTTGGAATGAAGAACAGGTGAAAAGGAAATGTGATGCGATTTCATGAACTTCGTAGATGAATGAAGAATGTGGGGGCGGTGTTACAGAGGACTCAATTTTGCAGCTGTGATCTAGAAACCACCATCATTTGGAGTTCGACCTCGTCGAGTATCTGCATTTTTGTTCTAGGGTGCCGTTCTACGACGTGGTTCAACACTGTTTGTTGGGTTAATCATGATATTGTTTGGTGTTAATTCTTTGTTGTCGATAATGAACGAGTTTTATTGACACCGTTAGGGTAAGTTTTATATTATTGAATAGTCAATCGTTTGATACGGTATATTATTTCAGCATGCTCGCCACATCATCTTCTCTTTTCAGAAAACAAGAATTGTTCTTTTATCATTTGTTGCTCTCTGTGGTTAGATATCCTGTTTATGTGAATGGAACAAAACGGCCACGGATAGTGCACCCCCTGCATGAGGAAGAGCTGCGTAAATGGAGAAATGGTCGAAATTGGTAAATTCGGAAAAAAAGAAGAAAGATGGTGTTCATGTGACACCCTACTTGGGTAGGCGCCTGTGTAGTGGTCTTGTGACATCCTTCTGCATACTCTTTATAGTTTTGCCGGTATGCAATGCTATTATCAAGTCATAGATGGTCCAACATCTTCGTATGGTAGGCACTCTCTCATTGGATGAGGACGTGTGTATTCGGAACGCAGATGTGCCAGGGCCAGCTGATTTTACGGCCCCATGAACGTAGTGTTTGCGGCGGTAGAACAGGAGCAGGCCGCGGCTGGTCCCACAATTGTGAGAAGTCTTGTCACTGCTGGTTGTTTGTGCACATAGGTGGTCTGGTGATGTCTGTATTTACTGAACCTTTACTCGTTTAAACCACCAGTACACGACCCCAGCCTTGCAGTCCGAGACTTGTCGCCACAAGAAAAAGAGGCTGAAACGTCAAACTCTTTGCCCGCCGTTGATATATAGGATCGGCGGTCACGTGTTTGTTTCGCGCTTTCCAGAATTCAAGGTGTCAGGTCCACGGCGCAGGTGCCCATGTACTGGTGCTCAACCCACCACCACATTCCAGCCCCTTTTTGCCGAGGCGGATTCCCTCTGCGCGCCAAGCTTTGATGAAACGCCAGCAGGATACTTTTTCTTTTCTTTTGGCTGGCGCTGCCAGCCATTTTTTCCCAGTGGCCACAAGCCGCCGAACCTCTCAGAGTGCCTCCTTTTCAGTTCTCAAGTTTGCCTGGACGACGTATTGGCAGTCAAGGGATTGCAGCTGGAGTGAGGTGCATATATTTCTTGTTTACCAGATACCGGAAAGAGTGGAAGAGAGTCTTCTCCCTTTCTTGGACTGTTACTTACCCTGTGACATTCTGGTTATGTCAGGGAATGTGATAAGCGCACGTGTAGGAGTGGAGAAGGAGAGTGGGAGGAACCGAGGCTTCGGGTGAGTGGAAATTGTGCGGAATGAATTGGACCCTGAGGGTGGTGCACTTCTAGATGGGTATTCAATGTAAAGTTGTGCTTGTTCGGTGTAGTTGTATTGTACTGAAATTTTGTCCCACGCACTTGTAACAACAGCATCCAGAAGTAATATCTGGTGTATGAGATGCTTGTATTGGCCTCCTATATGGAGTGCCTGGCTTTTAGAGTCTCTCATGTGTGAAGGTTGAATGTTTTGTTTGTTAGTATGTGGGCAGCCTCCAGTCGGTGCTCTCTCTCTCTCTCTCTCTCTCTCTCTCTCTCTCTCTCTCTCTCTCTCTCTCTCTCCCTCTCT